CTATTGGGATTTTGGGCATATAATTGCAATTTTTATTTAACCGAATAATTAAATACACATTGAAAAATAAATAAATAAACATCATATGTAATCTCAATTACACATCCATTTAATATATGGCTCGACCAGTTCTTGATGTGGAAAGTGGTTTCTCTTGTGACCTTGTGTGAGGACACTCGTGAGGGGGCTATTGGGATTTTGGGCATATAATTGCGATTTTTATTTAACCGAATAATTAAATACACAGTGAAAAATAAATAAATAAACATAATATGTAATCTCAATTACATATCCATTTGGTTGTCATTCAATAATACAAGAAAGAAGATGGTGAAGAGATAAACTTAATCTTTAGCCATGTGTGCACCACTTCGTAGGATCATTTTTGTGCTTATGTTTTTCATCTTCATGATTAATCAATGAAAGCTCCTCAAATGGTCTGCCTTTAAGAATATCCATACTTATACACGAACGACGGATGATGGAGAGAACCATTTGATTGTGCTAATAAGATCACTCACTTGGACCAATAGAATCCGCGGTACACTAGGAGGCTTTCTGCTAGGGTTTTCTCCTTCTCTATTTTTTTTTTTCGTTCTGAGGTACAAAACTAATTGCATTCACAATAGCATTAGGCGTATAGGAGAAAACGCATGGATATTTATGATAACCCATGCCACACCTCCTTATAGAGTTTGACGCCATGGGCTTTGTCCCATGCGTCTTGTTCAATCACTTCCTACTTTGGGCTTGTAGTTTGGATCCCTTTTAATTAAATAAATCTCGATGCATATTTTAATTAAATCATGTTCAATGGATTCAAATAATTAATTTCAACAAGGGCTTGTTTGAGAATTGGATCACACATCATGCATATGAAAAAATAATATACAATTAATGTATGAGAGATTCCAAACTTAATATCACTGAGACTTATTTTATAAAACACATTTAGCAATAGGTGATTAAGTTGAGATAATATTAGTGATGTTGATGGTAGACATACATGGATTTGAAAAGTTTATCAATTTGCATACGTATCACACAAGTTCTTAAGACTTGTATGTATCTAAAAATCTTCACAATCGGAATGTATCCTCTTATATTTATATCTCTAATCATGTAATGAATACAGGTAATGTAGTTATATATGACGGGATACAAGAATCTACAATTTGGGGTGGGGGTGGGGTGGTTAATGATAAAGACATATGGATGTCATCGTACTATATATATACATATATATATATATATATGTTGTCTGAGAATTATGATCAAGTTGGGGTGAAAAAAAGCAGCCATTGATTCCTGAGTTTACATTATTAGGGAATACTAAAATTTGATCAAGTAGTAGTACCTGACACTATCATTTGGCTGGCATAAATATTCATGCTTGCATATCTTCTCATGTATGTAAGGATCCTTATATTCCTTGACTTCCTATATACATACACACACACATACATACATATATATTGTAATCGTATTGAAGCTTCAAGTCTTTGTGTAGCCAAAACTTGGGGCAGTGCAGCCCTATCCGTGGGCTGAATCTTTTCTTTTTCTTTTCGAATACCAAAGCTACCTAATTGTTCAGATTTGCAGCGGAAAAAGTACGAGAAATGCAAGAGAAAAGAATAGATGTAAATGCCAACACACAAAAGAATCAGTTGAGAATGTTCACTTGTTGGGAATAGGAATTGCTCCGGATCTCTGTGTTAGGAGTTGGTAAACTAAGAGATGTTGACCATTCAATTTTAATTTTACGATCTCCATTAGCTTATTTCACAAAAACTTAAATGGCCTGGATCTCTTTTGTTATCTCTTGAACAATACAAATCTCCTGATTTTTAGACTCCAGACATTAAAATCTGAAAAGAATCTCAATCCCTCTTCTCGGGAGTTTAATATGATGCTATTCATCATTTTGTCAGCGTATCATATGCTGGCTTACAAAAGGATAAAATTTGGCCCGCTTAAACGTTTGGATATATAACCATATGAGTTTCTTTTCCCCTAATTTTGAAATTACACGAATTAGTAATTCACTGTACTTAGTAGTTGGAACATATATATAGATTCAAAATACTTGGCATCGACAATTACGTTCGCCCTTAAGAATCTTGAAGTAAAAACTAAAAATCAAAAAGTAAAAACTCAAGATTAAATTTTGAAATTCGAAAAAGTGGTTCTCAATTTTCAACTTTTTATGTTTTGAAAACTAAAAGTAGTTACCAAAGTGAACACAAAAATTGAAATTGAGAACAAAAAGATTATCAAACGAAAATTAACATATACCACCTATCAAGAGTGTTTTTGTTGCTCATTCTCGATTTCATTGGCCGGAAGTTGAGAATGATCATCTTCATAATAACAACAAGAAGAAGAATGATCATCTTCGATGTGCTGCAGTATGCCGTTCATGGCAAGCAATTATTAGAAGCAATATTCAATCACGTCGTCCCCATCAAGTTCCATGGCTATGTTAAACTCTCATCCCATGTCCACTAGAGATCATTGCATTTTAAGTCCAGGTGATTGGAAAGAATCTAAATTTCTACGATCATGGCCAAATCCAATTTTTTATTGTACAATGAATAGGATGGATTGTGTTGGCTCAATAGAGGGATGGTTGATCATGATCGACAGTGCGTTGAGGCGTCCCAAAGGGTTTTATGTAATTGCTTCGGTTGATCAGAGACTTTATAATTTGTAATTTTATTTTAAGATTTATGTATAAGATTTGCTAGTGTGATAAGAGACTTCAAGTTGGTGAAAAAAAATGCATAGCACAAAAATAACGAATGAAGGATTAATGGTATGCGGACTCTTTCAGGATCCTTTCTGATATGTCGACGACAGTGGTCAGGAAGGGGAGCAATTGCTAAACCGGTGAGTTAACCGGAAATCAAATTCACCACAGAGATGGTTTGCTTCCATATCTTTCAATGCGTATTAATTGTGCTGTTTATTTTAATTATTTCAGCTATCACAGCCATAACATCCTACATATATTACCTTCGTATCATGATTCTATTTGTGATTTTGGATTTAATTATAGTGGGGATCATCCATCGATATAGGGCAAAAATCATTCCTAAGTTAGTCGAGTTCTTAGCAATTGAATACTTCAGAGAAGTAATAGAGGTATTTATATGGGCTTTAGGACTCTACTTACAGAATATCATTAACCCCGAATGCATAATTTGCCTCTTCACCCTACTGAACTGTTCATATTACCCGATTTCCTTTGTCCTATTTCTGAGACATACTACAGTTCTAACTTTTCTGGACTTTGCACTAGGAATAAATGCCGTTATTTTAGTACATTTTATAAAATTGATTGATAATGGCAAAAAACTTAAGGGTTACAAATATGGATTATTTGGTCTATCAATTACAACTTGCATCTCTGTTCTTTTGACCAAATAATCCATATTCGTAACCTTTTAAGTTTTTTGCCACTATCAATCAATTTTCTAAATATGTACTAAAATAACGACATTTATTTCTAGTGCAAATTCCAGAAAAATTAGAACTTTAGTATGTCTCAGAAACAAGACAAAGGAAATCAGGTAATACGAACAGTTCAGTAGGGCGAAGAGGCAAATTATGCATTCGGGGTCAATGATATTTTGTAAGTAGAGTCCTAAAGCCCATAAAAATACCTCTATTACTTCTCTTGAAGTATTCGATTCCTAAGAACTCGACTACCTTCGGGTGATATTTGCCCTATATCGATGGATGATCCCTACTATAATTAAATCCAAAATCCCAAATGGAATCATGATGTGAAGGTGATATATGTAGGATGTTATGGCTGTGACAGCTGGAATAATTAAAATAAATAAACAGCACAATTAATACGCATTGAAAGATATGGAAGCAAACCATCGCTTTGGTGAATCTGATTTCTGGTTAACTCACCGGTTCAGCAATTGCTCCCCTTCCTGACCACTTTCGTCGACATATCAGAAAGGATCCTGAAAGAGTCCGCATACCATTAATCCTTCATTGGTTATTTTTGTGCTCTGCTTTGTTTTTCACCAACTTGAAGTCTCTTATCACACTAGCAAATCTTATACATAAATCTTAAAATAAAATTACAAATTATAAAGTCTATAATCAACAGAAGCAATTACAACATTTCAAATATGGGATCTAATACCTTTTCATAGTTGGAAAATGATGCTAAAGCCTCTTGTGTTTCGAAAGATGGTATATCCTTGCAGGGACGAGAGTTAGGAAGAATTGAGAAGGGAGAGAGAGTGAGGCGTGAAGATGCAGAATGAATTGGGAAAAGATGAGGGTCTCAAGAAAGTATGAAATGATTTAGAATTGGGAAGGTGTTAGTGTTATTATATAGTGTTAGAGAAGCGGAAGGTTTTAGGGTTTTCATGTCTCAACTTGGTAGGTTTTGCAATTAAAGTATGAGAGGAGGTTGGTGGGTGAGAGTAATGGGGTGTAATGACACTCATTTAAAGTTACCACAAAGTTGGTGGTGTCTATGTAACATATACGACGAGGGACTAAGGATTTGATAGGGCATATCAATGCAGTACGTGCATGCGTGCAACGAAATCACGTTATTGATCGACCAACCAGGACTTCTTAATATGTACTATTTTGTTGTTTTTATTTTCTGCTGCTTTATTCACATCAATGCACTTCGGGTTGGAAAAAGAGAGAAGAGAGGGCTCGGCCTTGTCAATTGTCACCATCCACTACAAGACAGCACCGCATTTATCACAGTTAATTCACCACGGACATAAAAGACTCGTTGTAGAATATCCAATATTACCACGGACATTTAAAGTCCGTTGTGAGTTAATGGTTTTAACAACGGGCAAAATCGGCCCGTAATAGAACATGTTAGAATAATAACGCTCAAGTAAAGCTCGTTGCAGTTATTTGATATGAATCACGATATATGAATGTTGTAGATTAATTTAATCACAGCGCCTTCTTGAAATCAATCACGATATATGAATGTTGTAGATTAATTTATTTAATAGGACTCTCAAATTTGTTATCAGAACCAACTCGATCTTAAACCCAATCTATGTACCAATTCCAGACCTGATACCACCAACCCACCCAGTCTCACCCATTCGCTTCCTTCGGCGGTTTCTCTGAAATCTCCAAACTATTCATTTCTCTCCCCAAAGCCCCCCGCCCCTCTTCTTCGAAATCGCAACCGTCTTCTGTCCGGCACCCACACAAGAACTCATCACTGACGCAGAGCCCGCCGGAAGCTTTCTCTAGAGAACGATATGTCGGTCGCCGTCCCCATGGCCTCGCCCAGTCGCCGGCTCGACTTGGATGACCAGCCATTCCTCAATTCCAGGATTTGTACGTCTCTCGATTTCTTTGTAAAGATATTAAAATTTAATTCCATTTATTGAAATGACACCGTGATTATTCTGCAATTAAAGTGAAATTATGAATAAGTATGTTTTTTAACAATTCGATTTTGGCTAAATGTGATAAAGATTAATGCTTTACTTAGTTTTCGTTCAATACGATAAGGTGCAAGAGAAAGGGATATGTTGATAACTAGGAGGCAAGCATGCCTTCTCCAAGCATGACCAAGCATAGAACGAGCAGTGTGAAAATTTTTGGGGTCGAATTGTGCCCTGACAATGTGGCTGTTGCCATGGTATTTTGTTCAAGGTGTCCTAGGCCTTGCAGGGCTTGCTGTCGGTTTTTATCTTTCCATTTAAAAGACGATTTGCATCTCGACCTGGCTGAGTACATTTACATTCACACTAGCCGTCGGTTTTTAACTTTCCATTTAAAAAATCTTTGTTTATGCTATTGGTATATATTTGCACTAGTATATATTTGCAGAATTATACGCAGTGGCTCTATTTAGTAGGTTCATAATCTAATCATGTGTTTATCTTTTCTCAAAGGACTCCTCTTATTATAATTTTGTCAAGAGTTCAATTGCATAGGAATGCATGAGTAGAAAGGTTTAGAGGCAGAAACTCTATTTACTTTTCTTGATTGAGATCAAATGTATATTTCCACCTATACGAGTACAATATTTTTTTTTTCTTCTTGTGATCCATATGCTAAAGTCCATGCAAATAGAGAGAGGCAGCAATTGCTGAGGCTCAAGTATTAGGGGCAGTAGTTCACTCTCAAGTCCTTTGTTTGGAGATGTTCAAAGAAATCTGAAGTCTTCAAGTGTTCTTGTTATTGGAGGCCTATTTGATACTTTGTGGATAGTTTGATATTTCTAGTACAACTCGTCGTTAGCTTTAGTGTGCAGTTTGTAATATTTGATTTTGTGATTTCTTTATGTAATTATTGTATTGTAGTAAATTTGTTTATATATTAAATGATTTATTATTATTATTATTTTATTTTTGGAAAATTTTTTATGACGGTCATTAGCCGTGGTCAATTTGTGATTCACAATGGCCATAATGAATGTGGTGTTAGATCTCAATCTAGCAATGGCACAATCCATGTTTATCTCACATTTGACAAAAGGCATAGTCCGTGGTAGAAACTACGACTTTTTATCACATCCAGATTACTAACGAGCACAGTGCTCGTGGTGGATTGCAATCTATCACGGGCATTGACCGTGATAGATGAGCTTTTTTCTACTAGTGATCCCAGAAACTGCATGGTTAATCGCTGAAAAATGTTTTCTTGTGTGGAAGAAATTTCATGAAAATTATAGCAGTCGGTATGGAACTAGTCGTAGGAAAAGTACACTTACTGTATGATAAAAAATTTAAGTTTTGCATTAGGCAAATATAGAGATGCTCAGACAAAAGCGATGAAAAATTATCAAGGTGAGACAAATATTGGGGATGGGGTAACAATTTTCTAATTTTTTTATTAGCACCTACCTTTTTTTTTTTTTTTTTTTTGAGATAATTAATTATTTCCCACTTTATTTGTTTTAGTTGATGCAAGCAAAACAGTTGGTACCTAATTTTGCCCAAATTCATCACAAGGTTCAACAATCACAAATGTTAGAAAGTTGTGAAAATTTGTAAAATACTGAATTATTAAGCGTGCTTCTAACGTTGTTCCAAAAGAGACGACGCTAAGAGGTGAGATTGACAAAGAGAGTGGTGCATTTTATAGAAGTCAAGTTGAGTATGCAAGGAACTTGTGCTTGATAAAAGAGATCGAAAAGCTATGTTCATGAAGGTTGACGACAAAGCATCACCGAACACAAAAGCTTTTTGAAGGCACGAATGAAGGAAAGTGACAAGAAGAATAAATCTTTTCAGTGATGACGGACATGGCACCTCAAATCTTAGTGAAGACGAACCTAGCACCACAAATTGGTTTGGGTACATATAATTATTAGGTTATCTTATTAGATTTTTAAGATGTACCCCTTTTTATTTGAGAAACAAAATTTAATTATAATGTCACATCCCGGCCCGGGGCGGACCACTTCCCGGGTCCGCTCCACCACCGTAGCACGATATTGTCCGTTTTGGGCCCCGACCACGCCCTCACGGTTTTGTTTCTGGGAACTCACACGAGAACTTCCCAGTGGGTCACCCATCATGGGAGTGCTCTAGCCTCCCTCTCGCTTAACTTCGAAGTTCCTACGAAACCCGAAGCCAGTGAGCTTCTAAAAGGCCTCGTGCTAGATAGGAATGAGAATATACATATAAAGATCACTCCCCTGTGCGATCTGGGATGTCACAATCCACCCCCCTTAGGGGCCCGACGTCCTCGTCGGCACACCACGACCAGGGTTAGGCTCTGATACCAATTGTCACATCTCGGCCCGGGGCGAACCACTTTCCGGGCTCGCTCCACCACCGTAGCACGATATTGTCCGCTTTGGGCCCCGACCACGCCCTCACGGTTTTGTTTCTAGGAACTCACACGAGAACTTCCCAGTAGGTCACCCATCATGGGAGTGCTCTAGCCCCCATCTCGCTTAACTTCGAAGTTCCTACGAAACCCGAAGTCAGTGAGCTCCCAAAAGGCCTCATGCTAGGTAGGGATGAGAATATACATATAAGGATCACTCCCCTGGACGATGTGGGATGTCACAATCCACCCCCCTTTGGGGCCCGACGTCCTCGTCGACACACCACGACCAGGGTTAGGCTCTGATACCAATTGTCACATCCTGGCCCGGGGCGGACCACTTCTCGGGCCCGCTCCACCATCGTAGCACGATATTGTCCGCTTTGGACCCCGACCACGCCCTCACGGTTTTGTTTCTGCGAACTCACACGAGAACTTCCCAGTGGGTCACCCATCATGGGAGTGCTCTAGCCCCCCTCTCGCTTAACTTCGAAATTCCTACGAAACCCGAAGCCAGTGAGCTCCCAAAAGGCCTCGTGCTAGGTAGGGATGAGAATATACATATAAGGATCACTCCCCTGGGCGACGTGGGATGTCACAATAATGTTTCATTGATTTATGAAAAAAAACATAATTTAACAAAGCACTTTAATTAAATATAATAGAACTATATATTAAACAAATAAATCTCGAATAGTTACAACAACAATGTCGTTTAATATTTACTCCTCATTATTTGGGCTTTAATTAATATGGTCGCAGATTGCATCTGCTATATTAATTGAACATAGCACCAATTAATTAACTTTTGCTCTTTATATTGTTCTTTTGCACTTTCAGAATTTACAGTTTTGTGAATTAAATCTTTGAAAATATATATGCGCAGGTTTGAATCCCCAAGCATGTCGTAGGTTTGGGATATGTCACTTGCGTTCGAGTTCAAATCTCTCTTTTCATAAGTTAGATGAATGTGCAGTATTCATCAATTTGCATGGTCGGTCTTATAATCTTTGTGCGACATAAATAAAAAAGTGTACATGTACAGTTGTGTATTAAAGTCGAAATTTTGATGCTTCCAAGCTACATGAACAAAAATGGTTACTTTAATCACAGATTGTACATACGTGATCGGATTTAGATTTATAGATCGTCTATATTAGACTAAAAACTTGAGGGTTTTAGAAAATCGGAGGTCTTGTGCTGTAACACAACATGCACCATTGTACTTAAGTTAGGGGAAATAATACTAATATCTTTGGATTAAGCCTAATGAAGTAGGTTCGAGGTTCATAGGTGGTCTTGCTTTAAGTTTATTATAGAAGGAGTGCAAAGGTATTACTGGTTTTTTGGATACCCAGGATAGAACCACCCGCAACTCAGCCCGGAGGTGGGAAATGGTTTTTTGGATATTGTTCCCATTATATGTTCTAAAATCTCTAAAAGTTAGCACGTGTGTTATAATGGAGAAAATCGTTACAAGAGAACAATCAAAATTGTAATAGGAGATGGAATTTAACAATGTTTTTAAGGAGACAATAATTCCATATCTACTTGAACAAGGTTGAATTGAATTCCAGATTTCCAATTGAGGAGTGAAGAGGAGGTGGGTCCCAATGACCTTGCCAATGGGTGTAAAACTTAGGAAAGGGATCCTCTTCGGATCCCTTCCATCAAATCCATCATATCAATGAATTCGTGTCCTTGAAATTTGATCTAACGGTTAAAGTTATTATAACTTTTAAATGAGCATTATGTTTTTAACCATTGGATCAAATTTCAATGGTCTGGATCCCGAACTACGTGGATTAGGTGGAAAAGGACTGAACATTAAATTGGCCGTGATTTCGTTCACCTAGCAAAAGATTCTGCATCTAATGGAGTTGTTTATGATTTTTCATGAGGCAGACTATGCATACAAGCCTCAACAAGAAACGTGTTTAGTAGCCGATCCATGGCATAAGGTCATGCTTGGAAAGACCTTTAGTTACACTGAGCCACCTACGACTAAAGGATTTCGACTGTTCAAACTGGAGTGTGATATTGATGGTGGTCCACAATGGATGGAGGTTGTTGAACTTGGTGATCAGGTATTATTTGTGAGCAACCACCATTCCGCCATATGTTATGATGGATAAAATCGTTATCAAAATCGTAATAAAAGAACAATCAAAATCTAGGAGATGGAATTTAACAATGTTTTTAAGGAGACAATAATACCATATCTACTAGAACAAGGTTGAATTGAATTCCAGATTTCCAATTGAGGAGTGAAGAGCAGGTGGGTCCTAGTGACCCTGCCAATGGGTGTAAAACTTGGGAAAGGGATCTTCTGCAGATCCCTTCCATCAAATCCACCAAATCAATAAATTCGGATCTTTGAAATTTGATTTAACGGCTAAAGTTATTATAATTTTTAAAAGGGCTTTATGTTTTTAGCCGCTGGATCAAATTTCAAGGACTCATATTCATTGATTGAGTGGATTTAATGAAAGTGATCCGAAGATCCCCTTCCTAAAACTTGGACTCCGCAAATGTGACGCTTGTACTACAATTGCTGATGGCGGATCACCAGCTGCTTAGACATCGGACTTGTCCTAAACCCTTTTTTGGCGTTTTGTTTTTGTTGTTTAGACATTCTCCAACCCTAGGTTAAAACTCAAATTTCCACTTCTATTCCCCCCAAAAACTCAACCGAACCCAAAGCTAAAATATAGCCTAAAACCTAAAACTCAATGGAAGCCAAATTTAGCCCAGGATTAGTGGCCTGGCCCACCATATATATATATATATATATATATATACATATACATATATTATTTTATTTTATATTTATAAATTCATTGAATCCAACGGTTAAGATCTAATTTAATAAAATTCAACGGTAAAAAAAAAAAAAAATTAACTGTCCAAATTTAAATCTAGCGGCTAAGATAATTAAAAAAAAATCTTTCATTTGTTTCATATTTTTTCATATTGTTTAACGAGTTTCATTGTGTCGGTTAGTGATTTTTCAGTATTTGTCAGAATTTAAATAATTTTAGGTTAAAATGTTCATAAAATTAAATTAGGATAGTCTATATAAATTTTTATTTTTAAAAAAGTTACTT